CCTAAGTCCTCATAGCTAGTTCTATCGTTAGCCTTTATCATTCAGCATGTGTAGTGTGGAGCCTGTTGTCCCTGTTTGGAGTTTACAAGTCAGTTTCACATTCTGACATGGACTGACAGCTCATGATCCTCCCCTCTGGTGACTCCTGAGGCAGTGCATGGGCACAGTCTCCTGATATCCTGAGATGACTGTGACTTTGTTTTCAAGCCTGCCTTCTAGGGATTCTCTGCTAGAATACAGTAGCATACGGTTAACTCAGAAATGTGCTTTAGGTTTTAAGCCAACAGTGCTCACAGTTCTTGGTTGAGGCTCAGTGGGTGGCTTAGGGAACACTTGCTTTCCTTATAACTTTTGCTTATTTATTTTTATTTTTATTTAAAGACAGAGAGACAATTAGAGACAGACACACACACACACAGAGGCCGAGAGAGAGAGAGAGAGATGGAGATGGAGAGATCTTCTACCTTCTGGTTCACTTCCCAAATGCCTGCAGCAGCCAGGGCTGTGCCAGTCCATAGCCAGGAGCCTGGAACTCAGTCTGGGTCCTTATGTGAGTGGCAGACACCCAAGTTTTCAAGCCATTACCTGCTGCTTCCTCAACTGTGCATCAGCTGGAAGTTGCATCAGAAGTGGAGAAGTCAAGACTTGAACCAAGGTACTCTGACATGGGATGTGGGTGTTCCAAGCACGATCTTAATTTCTGAAACAAATACCTGCCCCAGGGAATGCTTTCAAATCTGTCGCTGTCCCTTACTTTTTGCAAGACTGAATTGAAGGAAACAATTGCCCTTGATCTCTTGGCACATCAAAAATATATTTCCCTCCACTTGCAGCTTACTCTAAATGTTCTGCTTATTTTTCACAAATATATTTTCTTTTTACTTGTATTAAATAAAATAATGATGAAACATCCCATATAAAAAAAGATATTCTTCCAGTTGAGTCCTGTACATAATCTGAAAGTTCATTATACTGTAGTCCATTGGCCTCTAGGTTTTTATTTTTAAAAAACATTTATTAATTTGCATAAGGCAAAGTTACAGAGAGAGAGAGAGAAAAAGTCTACCACCTACTGGTTCACTCTCCAAACAGCAGCAATGGTCAGGGCTGGCTAGGTTGAAGCCAATAGCCTGGGACTCCACCCAATCCTCTCAGCTGGGTATCAGGGGTCCAAGAACTTGGGTATTATTTTGCTGCTTTCCCAGGTGCCTTAGCAGAGAGCTATATCAGGAGTGGAGCAGTCCCTCGATCCAGCACTCATTGGGATACCAGCATTGTCAGTGGTGGCTTAACGCTTTGTTCTGCAATGCTAGCACCACCTTTGGCTTTTGAAGGAAAGGTAAGATAGCTAACAAAGTTAGTGGCAGGTATTTGGCCCTGTGGTTAACAATCTGGTTAAAACTTCTTGTCCTACAGTATGGTCCCTGTGTTGCATACTTGGCTTCTTACGCTTGATTCGAGCATCCCAATTATGTAGAAGGCAGTGCTGAAGGTTCAAGTAATTGGGTCTTTGCCACCCACTTAGGGGATGTGGATTTCATTTTCTGGCTCTTTGTTGCTGCCACAGTGGGGAAAATTGCAGGCACTTAAGGGTGTACTAGCTGATGGAAGCACTCCTTCTCTCTTTCCACCACTCAAATAAATAAATGAAAAAATTGGGGGAAATTCCATCTTACCATGGAAATTTTAGACAGTTAAAGTGAATTGAACACTATGAGAAACGGTGACTTGATCAGCCCTCACCCTGACTGTTGATGAGCAACTTGATATGTTATCCCTCTTAGTATTTTTTTTTGTTTGTTCTACTTAATACCTTTGGTTGAATACTGTAATCAATACACAATTCTTCTTAAGTGCTGAAACTTAACTGAAAAATGATCGCTGTTAAATGTAAGAGTAGGAATAAGAGAGGGAAGAGATATGCAATTCAGGACATGCTCAAGCTGACTTACCTCAAATGGTAGAGTTAGAAACATACCAGGGGATTCCAATTCAATCCCATCAAGGTGGCATGTACCAATGCCATCTCACTAGTTCCAGTGATCAATTTCTGTTCACAATTGATCATAATGATAGGACTAAGAGCCAAAGGGATCACATAAACAAAACTAGTGTCTGCAAATACTAGCTGAAGAATAAAAAAGGGAGAGAATGATCCAACATGGGAAGTGAGATACACAGCAGACCCATAGAATGGCAGATGTCCTAAACAGCATTCTGGCCTCAGAATCACCCCTTAAGGCATGCGGATCCGGCTGAAAAGCCCATGAGACTATTTTAGTCATGGAAAGCCAAGACACTCTGGGGAAAAAAAAAACCTAAATGAAAGATCTCTGCGAGTGAGATCCCAGTGGAAAGAATGGTTCATCAAAGAAGGAGGTACCTTTCTCTGAAGGGAGGAGAGAACTTCCACTTTGACCATGGCCTTGTCTAAATATGATCAGAATCAGTGAATTCAGGGGGCTTCCATAGCCTTGGCAGCTCATGACAAGAGCCTAGGTTGATTACTGATGCCATAAACAAGAGTGTCAATTTGTTAAGTCAACAACAGGAGTCACTGTGCACTTACTCCTCATGTAGGATCTTTGTCCTTAGTGTGCTGCTGTACATTGAGATCTAATGCTATAACTAGTACTCAAACAGTGTTTTTCACTTTATGTTTCTGTGTGGGAGCAAACTGTTGAAATCTTTACTTAATGTATGCTAAACTGATCTTCTGTATATAAAGAGAATTGAAAATGAATCTTGATGTGAATGGAAGGGGAGAGGGAGTGGGAAAGGGGAGGGTTGCGGGTGGGAGGGAAGTTGTGTGGGGGGGGAGCCATTGTAATCCATAAGCTGTACTTTGGAAATTTATATTCATTAAATAAAAGTCTGAAAGCAAAAAAAAAAAATTATCCCATCTGTTAAATAAGTGTTACAGCAATCTACTTAGGGAGTAACCCAAAACTTAGGTGTTTGCTTGATTTTCTGAAAGACAGAAAAAACTGACAGAGAGAGAGAGAGAGAGAGAGAGAAAACAGTCAAATGTCCAAACAGGTCAGTTGTAACCGGCCAAATAAGGAAGCCCACTATGATTTCCTAAGAAAAGCAATCTGATGTTTACCAGGTGACATATTTTGTTATGCTGTTTTCCTGTTCCTGTGCAAGCTACATTACAGAAAACAACTGTTCTGCCATATTCAGCAAAGCTACTTGATTTATGAATTGCAAGTGAATGGCAGTTGCATCATTTAAGTAAATTTGTTGAAATCTGACCATTTGTGTTTTTATTTTTTGGCATGGGCATTTAGCTCAGTGATTAAGAATCTAGGCTGGCGCCATGGCTCACTTGGCTAATCTTCCACCTGCAGTGCTGGCACCCTGGGTTCTAGTCCCGGTTGGGATGTCGGGTACAAGTCCCAGTTGCTCCTCTTCCAGTCCAGCTCTCTGCTGTGGCCTGGGAAGGCAGAGGAGGATGGCCCAAGTGCTTGGGTCCCTGCACCTGCATGGGAGACCGGAAGGAAGTACCTGGCTCCTGGCTTCGGATTGGTGCAGCTCCGGCCGTGGCGGCCATTAGGTTCAGTAGCGGAGCAGCCAGGACTTGAACCAGCTCTCATATGGAATGCCGGCACTGCAGGCCACAGCTTTACCTACTTCTCCATAGCACTGAACCCAGGATAAACACTTTACTTGGACTGGGCAATCAGATTGTCAACAATCATTAGTGGGTTGCTGCATTATCTATACCATTTCAGCAGAGAGAGCATACCACACAGATAAGAGCACCCATGTTGGATATATAATCTCAAAGGGCTCAAATTACTCTTTTTTTAATAAGAAACTTTATTTATTAATCTGAGGGGCAGATTTACAAAGAGAGGGAGAGACAGAGGGAAAGGTATTCCATCCCCTGGTTTACTCCCCAAATGGCTGCAATGACCAGAGATGGGCTAATCCAAAGTCAGGAGTTTCTTCAAGGTTTTCCACATGGCTATATGAGATCAAGTACTTGGGCCATCTGCTACCATTTTTCCAGGCATTAGCAGAAAGTAGGATTGGGAGTGGAGCAGCTGGGACTTGAACCTGTGCCCATATGGGATGCTAGTGCCCCAGGTGGAAGTTTAATCTACTACACCACAGTGCCAGCACCTCAAACTACTCTTGTTAGTGGCTGATGCTTTGCTTAGCAGTTATCTCACTAAATAAAGTGCTTGCATGCCATATCACAGGATCTGTGTGGAAAGCCCAGCTCTGAACTCTGATTCTAGGTTCCTGCTAATGGTGACACTTAGAGGAAGTGGTGATATCTCTAGTAATGGAATTTATGCTGCCCACATAGGAGACCTAGAATGAATTCCTGGCTTTGTTTTTGGGCCCCTAGCCACTGTGGGCTTTGAGGAGTAAATCAGTTCATTACAGCACTCTCTATCTCTGGTAAATTTAAAAAACTAGACAGGCTCAATTTCTTCATGGTAACTATTGGATATAGGTGTTTTATATTTAAAGTATATAGACTGCAGAGCCGGTGCTGTGGCATAGCAGGTAAAGTGGCCACCTGCAGTGTTGGCATCCCATATGGGCTGATTAGAGTCCCCACTGCTCCATTTCTGATCCACCTCTCTGCTATGGCTTGGGAAAGGAGTAGAAGATGGCCCAAGACCTTGGGTCCCTGCACCCACATGGAAGACCCAGAAGAAGCTCCTAGCTCCTGGCTCCTGGCTTCGGATTGGTGCAGCTCTGGCTGTTGCAGCCATCTGGAGAGTGAACCAACAGATGGAAGACCACTCTGTCTCTCTGCCTCTGCCTCTAACTCTGCCCTTCAAATAAAATAAATAAATCTTTTAAAACATAAAGTATATAGAAGGCAGTTTTATGTAAGCTTCATGGTGTATCTAATAAATGTAAACTCTTTAAACTGTGACTAGGATTAGTGAATGATGAAATTGTGGCAAAGAAGATGTAAGTGACTTCTTCACAGCCATAGCTCACACTCATTCGCATGAATGGCCAACAGCAATGTCTAACAAACTTTAGACATTTTTTTTTTCATTGAAAAGAACTTACTATGTTTTGCACTATGTTCTGGTGGAAATGCATTGGTGAACATACACTGAAGGGTGACAACAGAACAGTTAAAACAAAAAATCAATGAATTAGTGTTTGATCGGGTATTGGGATGACTGTAGGAAATCATGTCTGCATTTCTTTTTTTTCTTTTTTTAAAATTTTTTTTAGAATTTTTTATTTAATAAATATAAATTTCCAAAGTACAGTTAATGGATTACAATGGCTTCCCTCCCCCTCACACCCCTCCCATCTCCCGCTCCCTCTCCCATTCCATTCACATCAAGATTCATTTTCAATTATCTTTATATACAGAAGATCGATTTAGTATGTATTAAGTAAAGATTTCATCAGTTTGCACCCACACAGAAACACAAAGTGTAAAATACTGTTTCAGTACTAGTTATAGCATTAGTTCACCTTGGACAACACACTAAGGACAGATCCCACATGAGAAGTACACAGTGACTCCTGTTGTTGACTTAACAATTTGACACTCTTGTTTATGGCATCAGTAATCTCCCTAGGCTCTAGTCATGAGTTGCCAAGGCTATGGAAGCCTTTTGAGTTCGCCCACTTCGATCTTATTCTGACAGGATCATAGTCAAAGTGGAAGTTCTCTCCTCCCTTCAGAGAAAGGTACCTCCTTCTTTGATGACCCGGTCTTTCCACTGGGATCTCACTCGCAGAGATCTTCCATTTAGGTCTTCTTTTTTTTTTTTTTTTCCAGGGTGTCTTGGCTTTCCATGCCTAAAATACTCTCATGGGCTCTTCAGCCATATCTGAATGGCTTGAGGGCTGATTCTGAGGCCAGAGTGCTATTTAGGACATCTGCCATTCTATGAGTCTGCTGTGTATCCTGCTTCCCATGATGGATTGTTCTCTCCCTTTTTTATTCTATCAGCTAGTATCAACAGACACTAGTCTTATTTGTGTGATCCCTTTGACTCTTAGACCTATCAGTGTGATCGATTATGAACTGAAATTGATCACTTGGACTAGTGAAATGACATTGGTACATGCCACCTCTTCTGTCCTTCCATCTCATCTGCCACGGGATGATTTAAAGTAATGTATGAGAATGTTGACTAACACACACATTCACTTCTATATGACACACTATTAGAGCCCTGGTACTCTTTGACTCCCCCAACATGTGAGAATACTTCAAAAACAATGAAGCATGGATCAAGATTTAAGGAAGCTCACTTATTTCAATAAGTTTACAAGTCAACCTCAATCTCTGAAATTTGAAACATTAACCGAAAATGACTCTCTTAAATAGCAAAACTCTTCTTTCAGATAAGATAATTATCTCATCCATTAGTTTTATCATTCAAGTATTTGATAATTCTCCTTACAATCTAACCATTATGCTGCCTGCTGGAAATACTGCATTGACTACAGAACAGTCATTTCCTTCAAGTTTTGACTCATATACCATAAATGAAAAGTACTAGCTCTTTTGGGCAGGCTAAATTCTTTTGGCTCAGGGAGAATTCTCTCTAAAGGATGTGGGCTGCTTTTTCTACTGAGGGTGAACCAAGGAGCAATATTTATAGGACCAAGAAGACTTTAAATTGACATTGCACTGCAGGTAACCAGATCTGGTCCAGATGTGCAAATTGTGCTCCTGTAGAACTTACTTTGGAGTCACACATCCATGTGTATTTCAACCACTACAAGCTCAGAAAGCAGTAGGCAACCACAGCATATGTTCTGGATAATGAATAATAAAACATGATTTAATTAATAAAATTCAAACCATTGAATTTTGCATTCACATTGTCTTCATATTTAATAACATAAAATGAAGTTACAATTATAAAGTAGAAAAAAACTTAAAACAGTGAAGTATGATACTGTTTATTTCACTTGAGAAGGACTTCTTCAGATATGGTGATCTCAGGCATCCAGCCAGGTCCCAGAATGACCCCTGATCATGCACAGCCAGTGAAAAAAAGGGGCCTGACAGGGAAATTGAAGGAGCCGGCAGGGTACCTCCATATGAAGGAACTTTTAGCAACATTCACAAAACTCACACTTCCATTTTCAAAATCAAGAAACACACCAACTCTGCTCATAGGTTTCTCTACATAGTGAGGAAACATTGGGGAAGTGGTTAAGATTCTGTAATGATTATCCTCCTTCATACACAGAAGAAGAAATATGTCCTCAGATCCAATCAGTGTGCCCTTCTTCCTGATGCTGGAATCCTTGCAGACTCCTAGAGCCCAGTCCCAAGAGTCATTCACTTCCAGCTCCCAGTAATGTTTCCCAGAGGTGAAGTTCTGGTCTCCCCAGGCAGCAAAATAGTCAGAGATGTCATCAGAATGTGGAGATGTGTCTTGATTGTCCTGTCCAAACATTAACCTTCTCACATGGCCAAGGAGCATGACATAATTGGTTATTTCATTATCGAAGGAAATTTCCACTGTTGGAAAGAACATAATATTCCAGTCACAATCAGTCCTAAACTTTTCTTTGAGATAACAGAGTCTACCTAGAGAATTACAAGAAATGAAGATTAGTGGGATAACTCTGGAAATATAACAAATTAAAAAGCAACCAGTAGGGGCTGGCACTGTGGCACAATGAGTTAAAGCCCTGGCCTGTAGGGCAGCCATCCAATATGGGCACCTATTCAAGTCCTGGCTGCTCCACTTCCAATCCAACTCCCTGATAATGCACCTGGGAAGGCAGTGGAGGATGGCCCTGGTCCTTGGGCCCCTGCACCCACATGGGAGACCTGGAAGAAGCTCCTGTCTCCTGGCTTCAGATCTGCTCAGTTCTGGCCATTGTGGTCATTTAGGGAGTGAGCCAGTGGATGAAAAAGACCTCTCTCTCTCTCTCTCTCTCTCTCTCTAATTCTCTAACTCTTTCAAATAAATAAAAAATATATATTTTTTAAAAAAGCAAGAAGTTGGGGCCAGCGCTGTGGCTAAATGGGTTAATGCCCTGGCCTGAAGCTCCAGCATCCAATATTTGTGCTGGTTTGAGAGCCGGCTGCTCCACTTCAGATCTGAGTTTCCTCTACCTCTTCTCAGGTGAAAACTAACATCTCAGACCTGAAAATGGCAATCACTTTATCATGGATTTTTTGATATGCCAGTTAAACAAGAAAATTTGTGTTTAAGAAAGTATAAATATAACTTCTGAGAAATGGACCCCACTGAGAGTTTTCTGCCTCACCTTGGTGCAGCTGCTCCAGTCTTCCTTCTTCTACTAAATAGCCCTCCAGCTTTAGGTGTGCTGTGGAGTTCTATGTATTACCTCATGAACCAACAACTTACTTTATTATGTTTGTCCCTAAAGGATTTTCTATGTTTGTTTATGTTTATTCATGTATTTTTAAATTAATCTCATGTATGTTGCTAATTCAACTGCTGAGAAAATTGAAGGCAATATTTTTAAATATAAAATAATGGTCCTATTGACATAAGTAATGACATTGAAACTGAAATTCTTTGATTTACATTCCATTAGTTTGAGTTGATGACCAAGTGACATTGCCTATTATCATGTTCCATGGCTCAAGGAACCCTCTTTTGAGTTTCCTTTCCTCAAAAGATTTTTTTTGGTTAGGACTAATTAATGTTTACCATTATGCCAGCTTTCATTTTTTCTTCCAATATCATGAGAATTACACCACCAAATACAATTATAAATGCCTATTAATAGACTGTTTCCCTCTTTTATCCCCTGGATGAAAGATTAAGAGGCAAAGATTGCTCACAGATGACATTTTTTGAGAAGCATTGTATAGTAATCTCTCCGAAGAGCTGACACTCACCTTGGAAGTGCCTGAGCCTGTCTATCAGCCCAGTGACAGGTTGAGCCTTGAGCTCTGGGTTCACAGGCTGGGGCACAGGCTGCTGTAGTGACTCACACCTAGAAGAAAGAATAAGAAATTGATGTTTCACATACTCAATAATTCATCAGAATGTTTAATAAAACATTTAATCACAGAACTGAAAAGTCTACACCAAATCCGTTTTCTGATATTGTAGTGTAAAACCACACTGATGAACTGAGCTTGTGCCATTTTCAGGGAATCTTCACTTTCTTCCTTTTCCTACTTCCTTCATTTTCCAGCTGAAAAATCTACTCCCTGCATTATAGTATGGCTGTAAGTTGAAATCTAAAAGCATGGGTAGCTTTCTTCTAGAAACAGCTATACATATCCCTCTGCCACAGAAAGGCTTATTTTTGGCAAAGGAAATATATTCAGTAAAACAAACACAAAAGGTGGCGTATCTTTGCTAACACTGTCTTTACTTTGTTGGTAACAGCTTGGTCTCTCTCATAATTCTAATGGTGCCCTAATTTATATTGAGGATAAGCATACCTTGTTAACATGTCTCCCAAATCCTGCCAAGAGAAACAGAAAAGCTTAGATCTCATTAGAAGAGGGCTATTCTGCCTACCTATCCAGGCCTTGAGTCTGGCAAACTACCAACCACAATCATCCCAACCACCCTCATAAATTTGTTTCCTTTTTCAAATACAAAGAAAATCCCCTCCCACTATATTGACACAATCAAGTTGTAATGAATTCAGACTCTGCAATGAGAGAGAAATTCTGACTGCATTGCCCCAAATCCCCAGCCCCACAGCTTGTTTCCAAAGGGTAACATGCTTCATGTTAAAGGCAACTGCAACTAAGGACATTCAGACTGAAAGGGGAAATAATGACTTCTTCCAAATGTCTCTGAATTGCCCAACTGGAGGCTAATATGGCTTTTCTGGGAAAAATAATTCTTTATATCTCTAAAGAAATGACATACAAAAGGCAAATCTCAGAAGAAAATATTCCCGAGGGAATCTACTGTAACAATTTTGGATAGCGTGTTTGTTCACAGGGGGAACAGGAGTTATTGGGTGTCTATGTTATTTACACTTGAGATATTTCCCCACCTAAATAATACTGATTAATATATATACTATTTAGTGGGCACAGATACACATATGGTACTGAATAATGTAGTCAAAGATACGGGCTTGAGATAGTATAATTCTCCTCATGCATGTCCTCATTTCTTACCTGGAGCAGCTCCCCATCTGGTTGATGGTACATTTTCATCAGTTCTTTGCACATTTTTCTTAGCTGTTTCTTCTTTAGAATCATTTTGGCTTTGCTTTTCTTAAGCTGTTGGAAAATCTTATTCCGTTCCTTTATAAGTGTCTGAGTGTGTCGTCTTTCATCTTCATGGGGAACTGGATGCAGCATTTTATAAGATGCCCTGATAATCTGTTTGTGCAGAGACACATACCACTGCAGGGACAAAGATTTCCCCAGTCACATAACCAGGACGACTTCATCTGTCTCCATTTGAAACTCATATATTCACTTTTACACAAAACTTCTGCCAATAAGCTATGTACATAAGTTGATGTCCTTCACCTCTCATAGGCCATAAGTTCATTGATAATTTCTTTAAAATATATTCTCTCAGGTCTGATAGACTGTGTGCAAGTTGTTCAGATTTATCGTTTATCCATAAGTAATTATATGCAACATTCAGATCTCTGCACTAGTGAAAAAATCTTTAGGAGGAAGAGGTAGACACCTACATCTTCTATCAAGTGCCTGGGTTGAAATTCAAGCAAGTTACACTTTGGGCTCCAGCTTCCTGCTAATGACCATCTTGGGAGGCAGAAGGTAATGATCCAATTACTTTGGTTCCTGCCACCCATGTGGAGAATCCAGATTGAGTTTTGGGCTCCCAGTTTTGTCATAACCCAGGGAACTCCAGTTGTTGTCAGCATTTGAGGAGTGAACAAGGAATTGATGATCTCTGTATTTCAAATTAAAAAAAATAAGTATATATTTTGAAGTTCTTTTTAATAATTTTTAAGTATGAAACCTTTCTACTGCATAGCTCCACCATTCTATCTGATCAGCAGGGTACTCACCACCAGATCATCATAAAATCTTCCCTGAGAAACTTTTAGCTCTTTGATGAATGTCCAAGTTTCTAACAGATCTGTCTCAGGTTGCCTCTGAGGCATACTCAGTACTCACCATCCACTGGGTGATTATTCTGCTCTCCTCATTCAGATTTTTCTTATTTTCTTGGATCTTTTCCCATAAGAGTCTCATTTTCTTTACCAGCTCCTCCTGTGAAAGAATTGAATTTGAACACCAGAGAAGCAAGCAGACTTGTATTTGGGACCCATAATAAGGGAGAAAATCAACTACTTTTAGAGAAAAGAACATTAGTGAAAGTAAAAGGATCATAATACCTCCCTTTTTGCCTTTGTAATTGTCAATGTTATATTTCAAACTACAGATGCACAAAATGTAATGCAAGTATGTTCACAAATAAGTTGATAAAAAAAGCAATGTTAATATTTAATATGGCATCTTACATCAGAATTTGGATCTACTAATGCTTTTCCCCTGTTATTCCGAAGCATATGATCCTATTTATTTCAGGAGGATTCGTAAATACTATTGAATCTTTTGGAACTTGCTTTAGTAGCCTAATACTCTTCTCTGATCTTGACTTCTTTTCACTGCCTTGACCATTGTGTTTTACCAAAATATTATAATGACAATTGAGTGTCTGTCCCCCAGCTGACTCTAGCAACAATATTCAATTTAAAAAAAATTTTTTAAGAGGCAATGAGGGATAAAGAGTATTCCTGTTCACTGCTTCAAAGCCTAGATCTCCAACACAGATAGGCATAAGTGTGACAGAAGCTAGAAGCCAGGAATTCCATCCATGTTGCCACTTGGGTTAGAGGGACCCCACTAATTGAGCCTTTACTGCTGCTTCCCATGGTCATATTAGCAGAATGCTGGAATTAAGAGACAGCGCAAGGTATTGAATCAGGTACTCAAATATGGGATGTGGGTGTCTTAACCATGAGGCTAAATATCCATCTGTAAACACATTTTTATTTTGATTTCTTTGTTGTTATCTAGAACAGAACCTGGCATTCAGAGAAGAGTGAGTTAATCCTCGTCACGAACTTCATTTTCATTACGAGTTGAGCCTGCCATCCTCCAGCACTCAAAGTGCTCCCAGAAGCATCACTTACCCTGTAGTCCTCAGCAGCCACGCTAATGGAGCGGTGCCTGTGAGCCTCATGCTCGGGGGAATCAGAGCAGTGCACACAGAGCAGGCTCTGGTTCTCTTCACAGAATATCTTCTTCATCTTCTTATGTGTCCCACACATGCCCTCCTCAGAGTCGAAGAACTGCTGGAGACTAGCTTGTCTGGCAATGGAAACTAGGTTCTTCAAATGAATATTGGTTTTGAAATCTTCCCGTCGTGAAGGTTCCCTGCATACTGGACAGCGGGCAGGAATTTGGGCTTCTTCCCAGGTAAGGCAGACACAGGGCCTACAAAAGCTGTGCCCACAGCTGATGGTGACCGGGTCCATCATGAAGTTTAGGCAGATGAAGCAAGAGAGTTCTTTTTGTAAGATGTGTGGGAAGCCTGAGTCCATTTTCCTAAGGGAAATGAATTCAAAGTTTATTCTACTTTGTTACACAGAGACCAAAGGAAAATCTGAAACAGGTGCTTGTTCAGTCATTAGTTTGTGTGATGTCAAAGGGTTTGAATTTTGCATGGGGAAGAGCGAAACTTGATATACAGAGAGCTCTCAGGTCTGATTTTGCCTAAGAGTAGGCACCATACATCCTACCCTTGTCTCTCAGATTAAAAAGAAATTCCGTTTTGTTGAGGTGGACTTTCATCCAAATGTTCTGAGCTTGAGACTTTGACCCAATTCTGACTTATAGAGTGGTCTCTGCATGCTCTGAAAGTCAATTATAGGGGCTGGCACAGTCCAGCTGTTGCAGCCAACCGGGGAGTGAACCAGCAGATGGAAGACCACTTTTTCTTTCTCTCTTTCTCTGTAACTCTGACTTTCAAATAAATAAATAAAAATCTAGAAGGAAGGAAGGAAGGAAAGAAAGAGAGAGAAAGAGAGAGAGAAAGAAAAAGAAAGAGAAAAAGAGAAAGGAAGGAAGGAAGGAAGGAAGGAAGGAAGGAAGGAAGGAAGGAAGAGTTACAGAGAGAGGTAGAACTATAAAGAGAGAGGTCTTCCATCTGCTGGTTCACTACCCAAATAACCACAATAGCTACAGCTGAGCTGATCTGAAGCTAGGAGCCAGGAGCTTTTTCTGGGTCTCCCACATGGGTGCCAGGGCTCAAGGATTTGGGCCATCTTCTGCTGCTTTCCCAGGCCATAGCAGAGAGCTGGATTGAAGGTGGAGCAGCAAAGACTTGAACCGGCACCCATAAGGATTGCTGGTGCTGCAGACCAGAGCATTAACCCACTGTGCTACAGTACCAGCCCCATAGCTATATTTCTAAGTTTGTAAAACTAATACCAAGCACCACTTCACAGTACTAAATCTATTATCACAATGAGCACCAGAAAATAGACCGTGGTTTTAACTATGTATTTTCCTAATATGTGGTCCTTCAGAGAGAGGGGGAGAGATCTTCCATCTGCTGGTTCACTCCCCAAATGGCTATAATGGCCAGGACTAAGCCAGGTGGAAGCCAGGAGCTTTCTCCAAGTCTGCCATGTGGATAGTTGGAGCCTGAACATCAGGGCAATCTTCCACTGCTTTACCCAGGTCATTAGCAGGAAGCTAGACCAGAAATGGAGCATCCTGGAAACAAATTGGCTCCCCTATGGGAGGCAGCAGCTTTACCTGCTATGCCGCAATGTTGGCCCCTGGGTCCTCATATTGGTACCAGTAAGTAAAATCAGGAGTCTTCTAATCACAGGTCAATGATCTGAGAAGTGTCTATTTAGGTCATGATGTCACTGTGAACATTATAAATTTACATCACCTTGGTGGTTTAGACAATCATTCCACGTGGCCTATTGATGCAATCAAGGAATAAGGTAAACATGAGATGCAGGAAGCTGCTGCCAGGGTAAGACAGCAGGCTGTTTTCTGGTGCAGTTTTCATTTATGCACAGAAGGAGCACTCAGCATAATAATGGTAGAAATTATAGTATAGTACATAAGCCTGGAACTGTGATTTGTTATCCTTATCATATGTTATTGTACATAATGACCTGTACTTTCATATAGTGTTTCTTTACACCAACTACATCACATACACAAGTGATGTGTTTTGATAGAATGTGAAGATGTCTGCAGTGGGTAAACCAGGTGACAGGAACTTTCAGCTGCTTCATAATCTGAAGGCATCATAATGTACGTGGCTCTCATTGACTGGAATATGGTTATGCTGCACATGACTGTTAATGTTCCTTTCATTTCTAATACTTTTCATGGTCACCACTGTTACTATTCTGCACAGCCAGTCAATTTCTGGATTCTTTAAGTCATAAAACTGAAAATTTGAGGCCAGCATTGTGGGTGTAGTAGGTTGAGTACTGCTTGCAACCCGGGTACCCCATATTGGAGTCCCGACTGGAGTTATCAGACGGCTTCCAACACAGCTCCCTGTTAGTGAATCTCAAAAGCAGCAGAAAATGGCCCAAGCACTTGGACCCCTGCTACCAATGTGGGAGACCCAGATAGAACTGGGCTCCTGGCTTCATCCTGGGTCAGCCCTGCTCCAGAGGCCATTTGGCAAATGAACTAATGGATGGAGGTATCACTCTATCTCTCATTCTCTGTCACTCTGCATTTCGAATAAATAAGAAATTTCTTATAAAATATCATTTTCTTCAAAATCAATAATACTTTCATCAAATGATTTAATATATTTTAGGTATTTTTTTTGACAGGCAGAGTGGACAGTGAGAGAGAGAGACAGAGAGAAAGGTCTTCCTTTTGCCGTTGGTTCACCCTCCAATGGCCGCTGCGGCCGACGTGCTGCGGCCGGTACACTGCACTGATCTGAAGGCAGCAGCCAGGTGCTTCTCCTGGTCTCCCATGTGGGTGCAGGGCCCAAGCACTTGGGCCATCTTCCTCTGCACTGCCGGGCCACAGCAGAGAGCTGGCCTGGAAGAGGGGCAACCAGGACAGAATCCGGCTAGAATACAACATATATCTAGAAAATAGAACCAACTAATTTCAATAAAAATGAAGGCTCTGCAGCAAACAAGAATTTACACATTGGGCTAGCACTGTGTTACATTGGGTTAAGCTACTTCCTGGGACACCAGCATCCCATATGAGTGATGGTTCAGTTCTTGGGTGCTCCACTTCCAATACAGCTCCCTGCTAATATGTCTGGGAAAGTAGCAGAGGATGCGCCAAGTACTTGGGCCCCTGCTACCTATGTGGGAGACCCAGGTGGAGTCCAGTTTCCTGGCTTCCATGAGGCCTGCCTTAGGACATTGTTGCCATTTTGAGAGAGAACCAAAGATGGAAGTGTCTTTTATTTGCTCTCTCAGTAGTTCTGTCTTTCAAATAAATAAACACATATTTTTTAAAACTTACATGCATCTGACAACAACTTTCTGAGCTGTAATACACAGAAACACCTAAGTACTGCAGTGATAGAATTTAATCACCTCTCTAACTCCAAAACATAGACCAAGACAAGATTTTTAAGAAGGAGAGGAGCGGTGAGAATTGGAATCATTTTCCTAAATAAGAAAATAGCATAATTTCATAGGAATACATTCAGTGTGCTGAGAAATTGAAATTTGGAAATTTTTTTGTTTTGTTTTGGGAAAGTAACAGGGCTGTGGACTCACCCAAGGACTCTTTCTGTGATCCCCAACTTCTTCTTGTAGAAGTAAGGACATGAAGTCTGCTCAGGGCTCTCCAGGTGGTGGTGGCAGCTTTCACAAGTCTCCAGAGCTACTTCCAAAGCCACCCTGTCTGTTCTGTGGAAATGTGAGTTTAGCTCCTTGTGGGTCTTTATGTAGTCTCAGAAAACCACACCCAATTAATCCCATTAGTTTTGTTTCCATTACAATGGATAAATAGATTTCTTTGACAGGATAAAAAGATTGGTTTAACAGTTTCCCTAATTTCCATAAACAAACATCAATAAGCCTCATCCCATCAACAGTGATTCAACATTATACTCCAAAACACTAATTTTATATTTGAATTTTTTATAAATTTTTTTTATAAAAGTGTACAAAAGAGGGGCCAGCTGTGTCATAGTGAGTAAAGGCGCTGCCTGCAGTCCCAGTTGCTCTACTTCTGATCCAGCTCTTTGCTGTGGCCTGAGAAAGCAGTAGAAGATGACCCAAGTCCTCGGGCCCCTGAACCTGTGTGGGAGACCCAAAAGAAGCTCCTGGTTCCTGGCTCCTGGCTTTGGATCACCGCCATTCTGGCCATTGCTGCCAATTGGGGAATGAACCAGCGGATTGTAGACCTTTCTCACTCTCTCTGCATCTCCTCTCTCTGTGTAGCTCTTACTTTCAAATAAATAAAGAAATCTTTAATAAAAGTGTACAAAAGAGGATGTTGTTAATATAATACACTAATGAAAGTCACAGAAAATTTAGAATACTTTAGCCTGAGAGTGGCTTTAATTCTATTCTTTCATGTTGATACTTGTCAGTTATTGATTTATTTTTTGTACTGTGAAGCGACAACACCCTTGTCCTTCAACACAGAATGATAATCCTGCACCCCACATTCTAGACTAAGCCTCCAAGGCCTCACAGCTAGGTAAGAAGCTAGAGTCTCTGCCTGGCACTGCCAAAGAGTCTCAGAGAGTACAGGAGAGAAAATCCAAGAAGTGCAACTCAGGGACTCCTTGGATCAACATAACTGAAACTCTTCATTGTAGCAAAACAGAAATACCTTAGAAAAATGTGAGAAAGATATAATTTTAAATATTTATTTATTTGAAAGTCAGAGTTACACAAAGAGAAGAGAGGCAGAGAGAGAGAGAGAGAGAGAGGTCTGACCTCAGAATCAGGTCTTAAAGCATTCAGATCTGGCTAAAAAGCCCATCAGAGTTTTTCAGGCACGGAAAGCCAAGACACTATGGCAAAAAAAAAAAAAGAATGACTTTATTGGAAGATCCTTGTGAGTGAGATCCCAGCGGAAAGAATGGGCCATCAAATAAGGCAGTACCTTTCTCTTCAGGGAGGAGAGGACTTCCACTTTGAATATGGCCTCGTCTAAACAAGATCGGAGTTGATGAACAGGCTTCCATAGCCTTGACAGCTAATAATATATAGTTTTTCGATAGGAAACAAGGATAGCTTACTGTCTCTGTTTTCAAAGCCTTTTATGCTAACTTCTAGTGCTGTATAGAGAAATAACCATCAACACTTTCCCAGAGGAAAAACAATGCTGGGGTCTACAGAGATAGTTCTGGTAGATGAGATTAAGGTGAGCAGAAAGCTGCAATTTTGAGTTTCAGCTTTCTTTGGGCTAGTCAATTGTGATCCTTGCCACTGTCCAGTTAAAATAAGATAGGACTGCTTGAGAGCAATGTTCTCAAAAGTCCTTGATCTATTATCTTTTCCAGTAAACCTGTAACTTTGAGACCCTTAAACTAAACTTTGGTAAGAATTCTGGGTGGGTGGGTGGGTGGCAAAAGTCAACAATGCACAAGACCCCAAGTGTCTGGTATGGAAATTGCATTTTTCTCAGCTCTTGCTCATGCTTTCACTCAAGATATCCATAGCCCTCCTTTGAGATTGCTCTTTAAGGAATACCTCATCTTCAGCACCAACCACTAAGAGCAGTCCAGAGGAAAAGGTGCCCCTCTTCAGCCTCTAGGGCTCCTTCTACTTTGGATGGTGTCTTGTAAAACTT